TTTCACAAACTGCCACATCTACCAATCTGTTCGCAGTGACCATAAACCCTACACACTAACCCTAAACTGTAGACCCTAAACCCTAGCAGTGGCCATTACGGACCACGAGTTCCCCTACATCTTTTCCCATAGACCTACAGGATCTCCAAACACTTTCCCTAAAGGACCTTCAGATCAAGATGGATACCCAAATGCCCCAAAGGAGCAAAACCCCCCAAAAACTATATAATCCATTACTACATGGGGGGAAACCCTGGGGATTATTAGGGGGCTCCGTTTTTTGGATTTCTGAGGGGGCCTGTGCAGCACCCATGTATATGTATACATATACATATAGATATTCACTTGTCCTTTTGTACCCGCATGTATCCCAAAGGCCCTGTCCCCTACACTCTGAAACCCTAAACCCTGAATCCTAACCCTAAATCTTAAACCCTAAGCCCTAAACCTTTAATCCTAAACCCTAAGCCCTAAATCTTAAACCCTAAACCCCAAAGCCTAAACGCTAAACCGAAGTCTCAAGCCTCGGCTAGCTTCTTGGCCTGCGTTTCAGCCTTGACCTGAGCTGATGTGGGAACTCCCAAAAATTGGAGATGATTGATTTAGGGTTTAGGGTTTAGGGCTTAGGGTTTAGGGTTTAGGATTTAGGGCTGGATCCTACATGACATTAATATACTGTAGTACCATAGTTCCTAAGGCAAAAAGTTCGGGTCATGCAGGATGTTTAGTATCCACCGTGGGGGGTCTATAGGGTCCCTTTAACAGGTTTGGAGCTAAGATAGGGTTTACAGTAGAACACGAGGAAGGAGATAGCTGGGTATATAAGATCCCTTTGTACAGGTTGAGGGTGTTTGTCGGGTTTACGGCTTTGGAGGCTGAGTAAGTACTATAGGGTTGTAAGACGCCTTCAACAAGGAAAGGACCGTAATGACGAAAAACAGGTAGCGGCGTCAAGAACGGAGAATCATACGGAAGGAGACTTGGAAAATGAAATGGAATCCGGGCTTGTGAAAGGGTTTCCCTAAACCCTAAACCCTAAACCCCTAAACCCTAAACCTCAATTACTACCAACATCCCTTTGAGGCGCCCTGTCACCATATCTATGCAAAGAAGGCAGATCCCTGATCTTCGTCATTATTCAGGCCCCTATTGCCTCTAGTACCAGTAACCCGCAGCAGCCGACCCTGAACCCTTAAACCTCCCTAGTAACCTCCTAGCAAAACCCCCAGTAAACCCCTATAGTCTCCCTTAAGTAGATAGAATATAGCTTTGCATTCATTATACTTAGACCCCCACATGCCCCATATTCTACTTAAGGGGGACTACATTAAGATCCCCTTCAAGCTGCGCTCGTTGCACTAACTGGAGGTTTCCTAAAATCAGGGTGCCATTTTTATGATGCCCATGCTGTAACAGGGATGAGACTACGTTGGGATCTATGTTGGGGTCCCCGTAATCATGGAAACTACGAAATTATTCCGTGGCCTAATGTGCAAGCGCTTTGAATCGGCGAGTTGGAACTACTTCCATCTTGCTGATTCAGGGTCGGCGCGAGGAGGTCTATGAAATCGTGGACCTTCTACTGCAGCTGAGACACCACTTGGGTTTCGTTCAGGGCCTGCTTCTTCTGTTCCAGGCGGCGGGCAGCTGCAGCCTGTAGAAGTTTGCTCACAACAGCATGGTCCGGTTTGCTAGTTTATTTACCCCCTCCATTATTTGAAAAACCTCCACCCCTCCACCCACTCCTCCACACAGCTTGAATCACAAGCACACCTCTTGCTGAGGCTTTAAAAACACAGCGTCAAGGTCCTGTCTGGGATGATGCTAGGATGCTGCCTGGTGCTCGTGGTGTTGCAGGGGGATGCGCGTCGGTTCCTCTGCCGCACCCTTCTGGAAGGAACTTTTGTTGAGTTTGCCAAGGCATCAGCCGCAGCATGCGAATAGGACCTTCCACCAAAAGTGTACAAGCCAAACCCTGAAACGCGACCTGAATTGCCAACCTGAATCGCATGATCAGTGAACTCTGGACCCCTGACTGGCAAAAGCAGTTTGAAAGGATCTGTAAACTGCTCCCTTCCCGAGATTGAGCCGGGAAAACAGTATGTGAACGAACAAATTAGAAACGAGCAAAAAAAAGGTGTAATTAGAGAAACCCAAGTAACAATGCAAGTCCGGTTCAACCATTTTCTTAGATGGGCCAATCCTGATAAAACACCAACTTGATGTAAACATCTGCAAATTCACGTATGCTTGGCTAATAAAGTCCACACATGACCACCAAAAAACGACCGACCATCTAGATTCGAGGGGTCCGGGTGGCAGTCAAGAGTTTGCTGGTGTTTAAATTCCGTACAAAACAGTAACGGTAAAAACATGCAATAACAACACTGATAAGATAGTGATGGTGACTAGTAGTCAGTAAGTAGTAAGCGTCAGAGCGCGAGCACTTGAATCAAGACAAAGAGCCACGGCGTGGCGTGCCATGTCCTCGAGCATCGTCCTTATACCAGCAGACAGGGGTAGGGCAAGGTTTGGGGTTTAGGGTTACAGAAGCCTCTCATCCTCTTCATGGGGGCTCAGGACAACTGGGTAAGTAGGCTAATAATGAGAAGCCCTGACAGCACATGCCATGTATTGTAATGCACCTTATTACTGGGCCACTGCAAGTGTAGCCCCTCAAATCAGAACTAGCTGATGGCTCAAGTAGCTTAAAACCACTTAAACCGTCAAACGGTTGACATGGGCTAGCCATCACTTAAACAGCTGAAAAAAGAAACAGGCTGCGTCTGATGGTCCATGCGTAAGATGCGTACCTCAACTAACAATAACCATAATGAGAACACTCATAATGATAATAGTAAAATGATAATAGTAATAATGATAATTAATAGCCATACTAACAATAGCAATGTCAGTAACAATAACAACACTAGTGAAATAATGGCAAGAATAATATCTGGTAACCATGCACGGTTGGCCGCGCAGTTGGCGCCCCAACTTCTGTCCCAAACCTAGGCCGCGCACGAATCTTTTTGCAACTCCTCGAAGTAGCTGTCCAAGGCCTTGCGGTTGTCTAGGACCCAACTATTATTACTATTATCACTATTATTACTACTACGATTATTGCTCATCATCATATTAATGCTATTATGATTACTATCATGATTACTAGTACCATTACCATAGGCTTGAAGGTTTAGAGCTTACGTTAACAGATACCAGAATTGGCTTTGCCACACGGCATACCTAGACCTACAATTGAGCAGAACAAACGCGTCTCTGGCGAGGAATTGTGGACAATGAAGCCTGATAGCTTGCAAAATGCATCTCTAGTGCCGATTTGCCTACAGGCTCCAAAAACACCTGTGCCACTTCAAGCTTTCTTGTTTGTCACAGTTACGGCTATGGACATCAAGCACGGGGAACAAGACCCACGGGCGCAAAATATAATAAACCTGAATATACTAATTTTATACTAAAATTAAAATATAGTAATGTAATGAAACATACATAATAACTACTAATAATACATAAATAAATAAATAAACAAGACGCTTGACCTGTTTTTCTTCTCGCTGGCTCAAACCTGGGGTGAACAGCGCTGCAGGCTCTGCGAAATGTGCCAGTGTTCTCGGCCAAGCTGGGTTGATGCTAAGGAACTTAAATAAAGTTACCATAATGGGTATATATACATATAGTAAATAGTAGGGTTTCCCCAATAAAGTAACTTAATTTAAGTTCCTTAACAGTAACCCAGCAAGTGGTGCAGGACGCCCTGCCACAAGTTGCAGGCTATTCCAGACGGCAGGTGCGCGTCGCTCAAGTTCGGATGTATGACCATGGTAGCTGCAGCGGGCTTCAAAGGCCATTGACAGAACGGCGGTGACAAGGCATCTGCAACTAAGCTCCAAAACCAGCGGCGCAAAGAATAACGCCATGCTGGTCCAGCATCAGGATGTTGAGAAAGCATGGGCGACAGATTTCTCCTCCTCGCGCCATGCCAAAAGCTGGCGGTGCTTACATATCCTGCATGATGTCCTGGCTGCTGTACTTTTCAAAGCGCGTGAGCGGCTACAGCACAAACTCGTCAAAGTGCTTGTCCGCAAAGCCCCAGGTGTCATCCAAGCCTGGACCGTCCTACGAGGTCTACGCCCAAAGTCTGGTTGAGCGTTGCGAGACATTAAGGGTACCTCGAAACACTAAACCACCTAAAAAATGTGAGATGCTAAGGGGCCATATTAAGGGCCTATACTTCTAACCCCAAACCCTAAACCCCTAAACACTAAACCCTAAACCCCAAACCCTTAACCACCAGGCCCCTAGACCCCTAAACCCTTTTTGAGGCACGGACTGAGGCTTGAGGTTTTGCCAGGGTGCCAATCTCCGTTTGCATGGCGCGAAACGGGTTAGCGCAAACCTGGGCTGCTATTGGGTTTAGGGTTTAGGGCTTTTCGGCTTTGAGGAACTTTTGTAAAATTATAGTCCCGCTTAAGTAGATAGGATATGGGATATATGGGCATCTTAGTATAACATCCCAAAGCGGGGGACTCTTGCATAAAACCCCGCTATTTGTTATGTACCCATAAAATGGCAGCTTGAATCCCAAACCTTAAGCCCTATGGACCCCCATGATGGTCATTTAAATGAAGTTCCTAAAAAACACCCAGAAACCTCCTTGATGTTGTGGTCGGTGATGACCCATCTTGTGCTAGCTCGGACTCGGTTTATACCTTTGCTCTATGCAGATATATAGGGTCCTATAGGGTATTTAGGTCTCTATAGGGATCTACAAGGTTCTATAGGGATATGTAAGGTTTAGGGTTTCCCAAATTATGGTTACCTTTATGGCGTTGCCAGAAGAAGGATTTGTGTATTTTTGTGGTCTATATTGGGGTCTCCCTAGTTTGGGGAAGGGGGAAACTACGAATGATGAGAACAACAGCCGCTGGATTTACGCTGCAACCACTGCAGGACACCCCAACTCATGTTCTCAAAGATCCTCAACATCCTTCAAGATAGTTCATTACACGCGGCAAGGGGCGTCGATGGTTCTGATGTACGGTGACACAGGGCGGTTGCAGAACTACCTGGCCATCGTACCCTCCCTTGAAATAACATGAGCTACAGTCTACACTCCTTACCGGGGCTTTTTCTATAGCTCGCATGAAACACCATAAGGGGCAGGGCCCATGCAGCAGGAATTCATGTTTGTTTGGCTGTTTGGAGGAGGATACTGTACGGCGCACGCGCGAATTGACACGTCTTCCATTCAAGATCCCCTTGCGCTGTACGAACCGATGCATCATTACTTAAGGGGTTCTTGTGCAACTTCAAGACATGGCCATGGCAATGGTCATGACGCTAAGGGCAATGCTTGTACACAGCCATGGACATCTGCAATACGGCTGCCTGGCGAACACCAGCCGCACGCAGGCGACAGTGAATGAGATCATCAGTTTGCCAATTTTGTGCCACCTGGGCGCATACAGTCAAAATACTCTAGAACTGTTGAAACCGTTAAGCTCTGCCACTCTGTAATGCATGGCTCAACCAATGGAAGGAGGGAACGGTTTCAGCAGAAACCCTTGCCGGCCTCAGGGTATCCATGGATGGCCAGAATCCAACGTCGGCTTGTCAGCACGAAATCGCCACTACCCGGCCAGTAGAAAGGCTTGTGCTCCCAGCTGTCGCCAGGATCTCCATCTTGCCCGGGATTCATGCACACGTTGGTATCTTCCTTGTCTTGGCATCAACAAACTTTCAAAGCTCAAACGCAGCCAGCTGATTTGTCATGATTAATCATGGAACCACAAGGTTACAAAGGGAGCATTTGGGATTATATAGGGGTATAGACGGATTATATATATTGTTTAGGGATACTGAAATCTTGACACGACCCCCACCAACTCAAATACGCTGTCACTGTCCAGTCAGAACACAAACCATGGAGGTCGGCGAGCACGCGTGCTACTAACAAGTACTGTGTATTGCAAGGTCCTTCTTGGGGGTAGTAACCCTGTAAGGTAACCTGGTCATCCCCAATGCTCCCTAATCCAGCCTTATTTCCCTGTACCCCAAACCCTAGCAAGCAAGGGTCCTGACTATGGGCCCTTCACTAGGTTCAAAAGGCTTTATAAGGTACATATGAAATTCATATGAAACATAACCAGTAAAATGTCCGCAGGATTACCGGCCATGCCAGAAGCAGGCAGGGGTCGGGGTATTTCTGCTGCAGGTCTGCCAACTCCATGTTCATTCGGCTGATCAAGTCCTCGCAGTCTCCCCGACCCCCTATAGTAACTCCCAAAACTTGAACCCCCAACATGAGCTCGGTAAAACACTGGAACCCTAAACATCCTAAACCCTAAACCCTACTTCTGAATTCTCTAGGAGCTCTGGGTAGCATCAGGTCGTGCGACACACACGCACACACAAGCTGACAACGGCTCAGCTGGGTTCAGGGTTTAGGTGAGAAAGGCTGTCTCTTTACTTTTCTTGGAATTCTTCCTCCTCAGCACAACATGTGGCCTTGTTGACCAGGCCCTAGCAAATATCCCCCTAGGATGGGGGACCCAAACATGGCCCTCATGTGGCATCCAAAAAAGGAATCATTTAGGTGCTCCCCATACCCGCTAGCAGTCATTGATGGGGAACTTACTTGGACGAAACTGAGTAATACCACTTAATTGCATAGTTGCTCAGGTCCTCGCGGGAAAAGAGCCAGTCAAGCAGCTCATTTGCAGCCATGCCCTCCGTCTCAGGGCACGTGACGTCGTATTCCGTGTAGGTTGCGCGGTACACGACATTGGGTTGCAGCTCACGGCGGGCAATGAAGAGAACCTGAGAAACTTAGGGTTTAGGGTTTAGGGTTTGGGGTTAGGGTGGGGAATTCCATAATAATGTTTATGGGGTCCGAGTAATCAGGATCATGACATTTTTGGGGGTCTATGTTGGGCCCTTCTGTTTATGTAGACGTTCATGTCTGAGCAATACTTACGGAAGCATGTCCTGCGACGCAAACTATATGTCCCATCAGCTCGAATCCCTACTATGGGGATCCGCAAGAAGGTACCCCTATATAATTGGGGGAACCCTAACCCTGCAATCTACACTCTAGTTCCAGTTTCCATGTCATCTTCCTTTTTCTTTTCCATTTGATTTCTAACTTGTGGGAGAAGATATGCCAATATATCCCTCTGTAACCCCTAAGGTTTGGGAAGCCCTAAGCCCTTAGCCACGCGAGTATATAGACAGACATACATAAATAGAAAGATATCCCTATATAATCGCTACATATCCCTATATTACGGTGTACAACCCCATACATCCCCGCAACCCCCTGGAAACATACCCCCAATTTGGAGGAGCAAATAATTCTGCTTACTCTGCCATGCCACCGCAAGAGGTACTTTATCTCTAGCTATGCAGGCGTTATATAGGGGTATGTATGGCGATCATCGGAAAGAAAAGGCAACGACTATTTAGGGTTTAGAGCTATTTCGGGTGTATATATATATATACAGAGATACAGAGTTATAGGGGTTGTATGGGGATTAATGTCCCAATGATGGAGAATCAAGTGGAAAAAGAGACTGACATGGAAACTGGGCCTATAGAGTGGTTCATACTGTTGATGGATGAAATCTTGCACCCTAAATTAATATCACTTCCTAAGACTTTAGGGACTCAAGGTGGTGCAAGACTTCCTCAATCAACAGTAGGGATTAGGGTTTCCAAGAAAAAAGGGGTGCCTTTCCACGGATCCTTTTAGAAGGAGCAAATCACCACTTGGCCCTGCATCTCCTGTAGCCCAAAACCCTGAATACCATATAACCCCAGTATAGCAGTTTCCATCCAAACCCTTAAAGAATAATAGTATATAACCCCATCATAGTCGTTTCCATTTGATTTTCCACTTTCTTTTCCGTTTGATTCTCCATTATTGGGGTAATGTCCCTATCTATCCCTGTATACATCCTTTATATACGTAAAGGGACCTGGTGCTTCCATTTAACTTTCCATTTTCTTTTCCCTTTGACTCTCCACTGTTGGAGTAATGTCTAACCCTAAACCGCGCCGCCGAGTATCAGTGTACGGGCTCAAGATGTTGTCTATGTTAGTCCTGGGTTGCTGTTAAGGAACTTAAACTAAGTTACCATAAAAGGTGTATATATATATATAGTACTTCATACGGTTTCCCCAAATAGTAACTTAAATTCAATCACCATAATCAGTATACATATATATATATATGGTTTCCCAATATGGTAACTTCAATTAAATGATCATAATGGGTGTATTTAATATACACATATATATACACACATATATATATATATGTGGTTGCTCCAACGCAGTAACCTAAACTCGGTTCCTTAACCAGCCCAGAATCTTGAGGATGAACTTCCCTCGCGCGCGTCTGAAAGCAATGTTCTCTGCTGTGTGCTCGAAAATGGGGTGTGCCTGAAAGAGCATGGGTTTAGGGTTTAGGGTTTCACCTCACCGAGCTCAACGCAGTACCCACAAAACTTCTCCCTAAACCCCAAGCTCCAAACCTTCAAACAGAACCTTAACCCTAAACCCTAAACCCCTAAACCCTAAATCCCCTAAAACCCTCAAAGCCCTGAAGGCCCGCCTTGTGGTGAGGCATAGACATGTGAATCGCTGTGGGTACGTGGATGACGCGAATGGGTATGTCATCTCCTCACTGTTAGAAGTTTAACTCCCCCTAATATTACACCCCCCCAGCCCCCCTAATGTTAAAAACTCCTACTAGGTGGTGTATTCTAATATATTGGGAATAATCTATACTAGGGGGCTGAGCGTTTCATATTAGGCGGAGGGATTATAGAAGTCCGCAGATGGCCCCTTGGAACAGCTCCTATCCCTATCTCCTATCCCTTAACTCCCCTCAAAACCCAAGCCCCAAATCCTGTCCAGAGACCCCGGCCATAAATCCAAAACCCTAAGACATGGTAGTTACCATTTCCTTCTCTCTTCCGTCATTCCATACTGAACCACCACCCTATGCTTTAGACCCTACACCCTAAACCCCAAACCCCAAACCCTAAACCCTAAAACATAGAAGTCTCCACCAGGTTCGCGCGAGATGGCTTCCCGCATGTGTGGGGCATTCAGCGGGGGGTTCCACTCCTGAGCTCAATGGTTTGAGTTTGCAGGTTTCGGGTTTAGGGTTTTAGGGCTTAGGGTTTTAGGGTTTAGGTTTTTAGGGTTTAGGGTTTTAGGGTTAAGGGTTTAGGGTGTAGGGCTTAGTGCTAGGGAATAAAGGGGTTGGTTATGCAGGGATGTGTTACATCAATGTAGGGGATTTCAAGGGAACATGGAAATTGAAATAGAGGGCAATCGGTTGTGATGGTTTGCGCACATCTGGCTTCCAAAGCTGAGTCCCTCTTTTTGTGTGTATATATATATGTATCTCAAGAATGGAAAAGGCGGCCCCTTGTTTTGCACGACGCATATGAATCTTGACATTTGACGGGTACAGAATACCCGAACTATGGAAAGGAATGAAACTCCCACCAAGCAGAAGCAGTGTCATGCAGCTCCATACTGAAATAAAACACGCACCACCACATCATAGGTAAGCAAGGAGATGACAAAGCATACGAGTACCAGCATGTAGCACCTTGCTGTCGCAAGAAGTAGACAGGGTTTGGGGTACAGTGGACTACTACAATGACTGAAAGAGGATTATGGACAAACAATATTGGACATCATTCAGGCTCCTACACTGTATAAAAGTCCCTCAGATGATTGTCCATTTGATTCTCCAGTATTCCTACCCTACACCCTGGGCTTTACGAAGCCCCTGCCACCACTTTGGGGTACCTGGGCGTTCAGACTTACAAGGTAGGAAGCGTGATGTACATCATGTGACCCAATTGACACCCACCAAATTGTAAACTCACCGCCCTTTGTGAGGAACCTTATCGGCAATCACCAAAGCCGTGTGCCAAATCCGGCTTCCTTGACTACTTACATGCTGAAAGACCTAGCGGCCACCACGATAATCTCGGCTGGCACATGCGCAGCCTGGAGCATGTTCGCAGTTGTCGCCAGCATTCGATTTAGGCGAAGAAGCATGTTGCCTTCCAGGACAAAAGCAGAGGAGTAATGATAACAAGAAGGCTACACCGGCGACCATTGAACTTCTATTCCTTGTAGTACATACTAATGATAGCGAAGCAACATGGTAGGACAAAAAGTCCTCAACAAAATTTTCACGGTGACAATTATTGTCATCACCCTCGTCACGCTCACCATCACCGTGTCCGCCACTAATGAGGTCATCGCCATTCCAAAAGGAGCAACAAGTCCACGACCCTAAGCCCTAAGCCCGAAAGAATGAAGGGGTTCTACCTTGGACTCCTAAGGTTGTACCCCTGGGTTTGGGGACCCTTTAGGGACCGTTTTTACGAAACCCATTGCGAATATGGGAGCCATATTAGTGGTANNTTAGTGGTATATTGGGAAAACCCTTTAGGGCTACAACCTTAGGGGTCCGAGTTCTAATCCCTTGAAAGAAACGGAGGCTTAAACCCCGAACTCTAAGCCCGAAAGAATTGGAGCCCTGAACTCTAAACCCTTAAAGCGAATTTGCGGCGGCAACCAAGTCTGATCCGTTTTAGCACATTCCCTGGAACTAAATTAGGTGTAGGGGTTTAGGGCTTAGGGGTTGAGGTCTCGGGTTTAGGGAGTAGGGTTTAGGATCTCAGGTTGGGCATTGAGGGGTACATAGGGCTGCAATAGAAAATCATACAAAAACACGAGACTATGTATTTATAGGGGCTTATGTAGGAATATGACCTTAGCTTGGGCTTTTCAATGCCTCTAAATTCCCCAGTACCCCTTAATAATAAGAGAATGTTCAGCTTTCATACGGAGACCCCACCAAACCCTAAGCCCTAAAACCCGAGACCCTAAACCCAAAGCCCTAGACCCTCACGGCCTGCCTCCATAATCATCATTCCTACACTGAACGATAACGCTCAGGTATAACGCCTCCTGCTGTGCATTGGCAGAGGTTTGAGGATTTAGGGCTTAGGGTTTAGGGTTTAAGGCCTAGGGTTTAAGGTTTTGGATCTGGGGTTTTGGGCTTAGGGTTCAGAGCTGGGAGCGGGGTCGGGTCCCTGGAGCATCAGGACGTATACTAGGACCCTATAAACTTTAAACCGTATAGCATGTGCCCAGTTATGCCTGTTACTAACCTACTTACTAAGTCTCCTTGATGCTCCAAGTATCCCGAGTGCCAGGGATTCTACCATTCGGATTTGGGAGCGAGTACTGGTGTGGTAGCACATAGCTTAAGTCCGCGGCAGCTGCATTGTCAAAGGACCTGCATGGTTTACATAAAGTGGAAATGGCAGCAAACTGACAATTTCGGGCGCAACACTGCATTGCGTTACATGTGCGCGAAACGATTGAGAGAATCCCGGTGCTTGCTGCCGACTTTTAGTACTCTCAGTCAACTCGCCGTCGCTTGAGAGTCGAACATGTAGTCATGCTGTCCATCCTAGCCAGATCGTGTCCAACTTTGAACTCCTGCAGCAGGTGCAAAACTTCCAGGCGGCCTAGCTGTGATGCTATGGATACAGGAGTTGCACCGTTATCGATGGCCTTGTCTTTGTCAGCATTGGCCTCCAGCAGCATGCGCACAACTTCCAAGTGGCCTTCTTGCGAAGCCCGGTACAGCGGAGTTGCGCCGCGGTCGGTGGCCTTGTCCTTGTCAGCATTGGCCCGCAGCAGCAGGCGAACAACTTCCAAATGGCCTTTGTGCGAAGCCCGGTACAACGGAGTTGCGCCATCTTTCGTGGCCTTGTCCTTGTCAGCATTAGCCTGCAGCAAAACGCGAACAACTTCCAAATGGCCTTCTTGTGAAGCCCGGTACAACGGAGTTGCTCCATCTTCGGCGGCCTTGTCCTTGTCAGCATTGGCCTTCAACAACAGGCAAACGACCTCCAAGTGGCCTTCTTGCGAAGCCAGGTACAGCGGAGTTGCGCCACGATCGGTGGCCTTGTCCTTCTCAGCATTAGCCTGAAGCAGCAGGCGAACAACTTCCAAATGACCTTTGCGCGAAGCTATGCAAAGCGGAGTTGCACCATTATCCATGGCCTTGTCTTTGTCGGCATTGGCCTCCAGCAACAGACAAACGACCTCCAAATGGCCCTCTTGCGAAGCCAGGTACAGCGGAGTTGCATCATTGTTGCTGGCCTTGTCCTTGTCAGCATTTGCCCTCAGCAAAACGCGAGCAACTTCCAAGTGGCCTTTTTGCGACGCCACAAACAGTGGAGTTGCGCCATCTTTGGCGGCCTTGTCCTTGTCAGCATTGGCCTCCAACAACAGGCAAACGACCTCCAAGTGGCCTTCTTGCGAAGCCCGGTACAATGGAGTTGCGCCACGATCGGTGGCCTTGTCCTTGTCGGCATATGCACTAGCCCGAAGCAGCAGGCGAACAACCTCCAAATGACCTTGATGCGAGGCTACGCAAAGCGGAGTTGCACCATTATCAATTGCCTTGTCTTTGTCAGCATTGGCCTCCAGCAACAGGCGCACAACTTCCAAGTGGCCTTCTTGCGAAGCCCGGTACAGCGGAGTTGCGCCGCGGTCGGTGGCCTTGTCCTTGTCAGCATTGGCCCGCAGCAGCAGGCGAACAACTTCCAAATGGCCTTTGTGCGAAGCCCGGTACAACGGAGTTACGCCATCTTTGGCGGCCTTGTGCTTGTCAGCATTAGCCTGCAGCAAAACGCGCACAACTTCCAAATGGCCTTCTTGCGAAGCCTGGTACAACGGAGTTGCTCCATCTTCGGCGGCCTTGTCCTTGTCAGCATTGGCCTTCAACAACAGGCAAACGACCTCCAAGTGGCCTTCTTGCGAAGCCAGGTACAGCGGAGTTGCACCAAAACTGTCCATCCTGTCCTTGTCGGCGTGAGCCTCTAACAGCAAACGGACAGCATCAATACTACCGCACTCACATCCCCGTTGCAGAGCAGCCGACTCGTATGCATCTTCCAAATCCGGATCTTGTGGCCTTTGCAAAAGCTGCTCTATCAGGAGGATGTTGTTGTCACTGGCAGCCTGCTGGAGTTGCTGAATCTGGTCTTGGGAGCTTGCCTCAAAGGGCCGCAATATGAGCTGGGCATCCATCGGGCCCTGCAGCACCGCATCGTCCGACAACATTTGGCCATCTGAAGTCACTAGTCGCTGCTTGAAGCGCGGCTGCCCTACAAGGTGTTGCAGATGCCGCTTGATGGCTAGTACTCGGACTGGATGTTCATTCATGGGGGCCATGTCCACAAAGTCTGTGAACGCGATGGCGAGGGCCACTTCGCCCGAAGCCTTGAACACTCGCAACATGCAGCGTTGGATTCAACAAGGAGGGCGAGAACATGAGCGACACTTGCGACAATGGCATTGGCTTGAGACACGTCGCGTCAGGCGTATCGGGCCGTCACTAGTGCTTGCGCCACAGGAACCCTCAGAAAACAGTATCTAAACTCGAGGATCTATACCAGCAGGTATGCCTGCCAGGAGTTACGTACGTATTTGGGATTTGGCCCTAAACCCTAAACCGTAATTGTGCATGTCACCTTGAATTGAGGTCTCCAAGGAGAACACCATACAATCCGACTGCCCAAGAGGCTTCCATGCTCTTTGCTTCAACCTCTTACGAGGTGTCAGGGTAATTTTCACCTACTTACAAGTGTAGCTTGGAATTGCACTTATAAGCTAGAGCCACCCTTACGTGGATAGAATATGGCTTTGGGTATATTATAATAAGATCCTTATATACGCCATATTCTATGGGTTGACTATACTTGGAGGTCCATTGTACTTATATCCTACTTAGTAACTGTAATTATGACCCAATTATATCTAGAACCCAGGTTATAACTACAGTTACTAAGTAGGTTATAAGTACAATGGACCTCCAAGTAACCCCTATATATACACCATTATAACGTATCAGTTTCCGTTTTCTTTTCCATTATCTCTATATAACCCCTGTAATGTACCCCCATATTCTATCTACTTAACGGGCACTACATAAACCCTAAACCCTAAACATCCCTAAACCCTAAACATCCCCAAAAACTTAAACCCTAAACCCTAAACCCTAAGTAGCCTGCGCCTCCAAGTAGATACCGGCTGTCCCTGCATACCCTTCTTTCTGCACGCCCCCAAACTATCAAGCCTACTAAGGGCCAGTATATACTAGATAGTTCCTATATAACCCTATATAGTATACTAAGGGCTTGTATATAGCCCCTAGATAGTTCAGATATATAACCCCAATATACGTAGTAGTTTCCATTTTATTTTCCATTCTCCCAATACAACCCCAAAAATTCAAGCTCTCTGCCTGCACCACGAGGCATTGCAAGCAAGCAGCAGCAATAGCAAGATTCCAGGTTTGGGGCGTACAACTAACAACAGTCAGGGGGGATTCGCATACATGGGTAGACCCAAATGCTGAATTAGGGCGACCTCTTGTATTTTGAAAGGATCGGTTGGCTGCCCACTGATGTCCATTTGACTTTCCTAAGGTATTCGCGAAGCCTTGCCAAACTGAAGGCCATCCAGGTCGCGGAGGGTCAGTGTGGGTCGAGTTTGCACCAGCATGCCGAACCCTAAGCCCTAAACCCTGAAACAGATGGAGTCTGGCTTGACAATTTCCTGACATGGCCCACGCTTGACTCTTAAATATGGAGCTCGTTCTCAAAATGGGGGAAGTTAAGTTTGATATCGCGACTCGCAAAATGGGAGCCCCACTGTGAGACCAGTACGGTTTAGGGTTTAGGGTTTAGGGTATGAGCCATATAGTATCCCCCCTTAGTAACCCCCACGATACTGCCCTATACAATCCCCTGTATAACCTCCTGGAAGGAGTTTAGACTACATCTCATTTTGTATTTCAGGAAATGGTAGCTTCCCAAAATCGAGGCACCCCAACATAGACCCCCAGATACTAGAATCCTGATTAGTGATCCCCTACAACCCCTTATATATCCTCCTATAACCCCTGTAGCCCCCTTTACAGGGACCCCTAATTTTGGGAAATCCCCAAATCTTCCCGTTGCCCATAG